GTGTGGTGCGTTTCTGGCCTCGAGCTAGTGCTGGCCCCCCAGGCATACACAACCTATAGAAATGCCAGGAGGGTCGGCCCCTGCCACTGAGGCGTTGTCTGCAGACCACGCGGCTGGCCTTCGGCGACGCGGTGCCCATTGCCGCAGAGGGGCCTCTGCACACCGCCGCGCGTGCCCGGCGAGGGCATATCCTTTGGAGGAGGACGAGCTGAGACAACGGCAGTTTTTAATCGGGCGTGTCCCTCTACAGGAGGAATGTTCAAACATAGGCTCAAACATAGTACGGGGACGATTTTTTGTTATATTATTTGTTGGATTATTTTTGGTGTGCTTTGGCTATTTCTCATTTTTCGTCCAAAGCCCGCCTGTAGGGGGACGCGCCCGACCTAAGACAACGGCAGTTGGCCTTCGGGGCCACCGCCGTCGCTACGGCTGGACGAAGCCCGGAAAGTTGGTGCGCTGGGACGCCGGAAGGGGTCTTCCGGGGACCGATGGTGAGCTGCCGCTTGTGTCAACCCGCCCTGCTCCGCGTCCTGCCTCCAGGACGGCATGCGTACGCCCCTCCCGGCCTCGGCCAGGAGGGCAGCATGCAGGAGCACGCGGGGGCCCAGGGTGGCCCTGGCCAGGCGCGACCGGGCTGTGCCCCGACCTCCGCCGACCTGCCTGTGCTTCTCGGGAGGAGGAGGAGGAGGAGGAGGAGGAGGAGGAGGAGGAGGAGGAGGAGGAGGAGGAGGAGAAGGAGGAGGAGGAGGAGGAGGAGGAGGAGGAGGAGGAGGGAGGAGGGGGAGGAGGAGGAGGAGGAGGGGAGAGGAGGAGGGGGAGGAGGAGGAGGAGGAGGAGGAGGAGGAGGAGGGGAGGAGGAGGGGGAGGAGGAGGAGGAGGAGGAGGAGGGAGGAGGAGGAGGAGGAGGGGGAGGAGGGGGGGAGGAGGTGGAGGAGGAGGGGGAGGAGGGGTGCGGTCCGGGCAGTTCCTGCGCCCCAGAGCCGCTACATTGACGGCCCCCCGTGGGCCCGACCAGGGCCCCCGCGGGGGCCGAAGCCGGCGGAGCCCTCCCGGATCTGAAACTCCTCCTCCTCCTCCTCCTCCTCCTCCTCCTCCTCCTCCTCCTCCTCCTCCTCCTCCTCCTCCTCCCTCCTCCTCCTCCTCCTCCTCCCCTCCTCCTCCTCCTTCTCTCCTCCTTCCTCCTCCTCCTCCTCACGTCGTCGGAGATCTGGGGGTGTGCAGCCGCCCCCCTGCGCGCCCGTCGCCGTGCTGGACGCGCTGCGGGAGCGCCACGGCCTCTTCCCCTGCGAGCGCCACCGCGGCCGCGCGCAGGTGCTGGAGGCCCTGGCCGGCCGGCGGGTGGCCGTGTGCGAGGTGCCCGGGGAGGACGCCCTGTGGCGCGAGGACGTGTACGAGCCAGAGAGCGAGATGCTGGGCCGTGCTCGGCAGGCGGGGAGGCTCCTCCTCCTCCTCCTCCCCCTCCTCCTCCTCCTCCTCCTCCTCCTCCTCCTCCTCCTCCTCCTCCTCCTCCTCCTCACCCTGCTTGCCTTCAGGGTGCCCTGGGTTTCTTGGGGTTTTGATGGTTCTGCCATGTAGGGCGTGACGCTTCCACACCAGAAATCAGTGGACGTCCTCGGGTCTCAGGTTTAGATTTCTTGCGGAAGGTTTCGTATGGACTGGCCTCCACTGTGGTGCGACCAGATGATGGAAACATGCATTGGGGGTCGCAGCGCCCCATTGGCAAGTCGACGATGTAAACATTAGCCCCGGCTCGGGAAACTACTTTTTGTGTGTTCCCCCCCCCTGCGCCCCAGGTCTCCGACGGCTTGTTTTGTTCAAGTTGGGCGTCTTCCTCGCCGATTTCTATAATGGTGCCCGTTAGTGAGCGTTTTTTCCCCGAGAGGGCATGTGCACAGAGTTCTCGTTTAGATAGTTTGCCTTCGGCTTCGACTTGAAGAGGACCGGCGGACATACATGTGACAAATGCGGAGGTAAGGCCCCATGTTGTGTTTCCATGCATCTTGCGCGTGCCCGCTCGAGGAGAGCGTACCACCCTTCTCTCGGAGGGTAGAGAAACAACGGGATCCGCAGACCCCCGTTCTCCTTCGAAGAAATGCATAGCATTTTGAGCAGAATCTGGGACACATGACCAGGTTCGAAGACCCTAGACTTCTGCATCACACGACAGAAAGTATACTGTTTGCGTGCCCGCTCGACGGCGGCGCGCCCTGCGCGCAGGTTTCTCGAGGATGCCTCGAGCGAAACGATTGTTTTGCTGAAACAATGTTGGCTTTTTGCTCGCTCGAGGCTGGCGCGCCCTGCGTGCCGAATGATATCTCCACCGACACGCTTCTTCTGCAGTGCTTGAGGGGCCTGGGCGCCCCAGGGATGCCCAGGTGGTTCTGGGAGTGCGGTGGGAACGTCATTTACGCGGGAGCGTGGCCCTGGGAGAGTGAACACGCTTGGGGTCTTGACGCCTCACGGTGGAACCTGCGTGAAAACAGACGGGCTCCCAACGCCCCAGAGCGGGACAAGCGGGACAACACGCTGGCTCCGAACGCCCGAGAGCTGGACAGGCGTGAAAACACATCGGTCCCCACCACCCCAGCGCGGGACCAGCGTGAACACACATGGGCTCCTAGCACCCCCAAGCAGCGTAAGCGTGAAAACACCTCAGTTCGGAACGCCCCGGCAAGAGACGAGTGCGAAGACGTATGGGTTCCTGACGCCTCAGATTTGGTTCCTAACGCCCAAGGGCGGGACAAGCGTGAAAACACGTGGCTCCAAATACCCCTTGGCGGGAAACGCATCAAAACACACGAGTTCCCAACGCTTCAGAGCGGGACAAGCGTGAAAACACGTGGGCCTCTAAGCGCCCCAGAGCGGGACAGGCTTGAAACACACATGGCTCCTAACCCCCGGACAGTTGGACACACGTGAAAGTACGTGGGCTTCTGGCGCCCGACACTTGGACAAGCGTGACAACAAATGGGCTCCTAACGCCACAGGGCGGGAGAGGAGTGACAACACGTGGGCTCCTGACGCCTCGGGGCGGGACGCGCGTGAAATCAGTGGGCTCCACGCCCCAGGGCGGGACCAGCCAAAGGCACGTGCTCCTGGGAAGGCACAGACTTACAGTCAACCCGCACAGTAAGGATGACCGACTTCCCAAGGGTACCCTTGCCAGATCTGGTCCATCCTCAACCGCTCTCGATGGCCAGCCCCGCTCGAAGACCCTCTCGGCATGGGCGTCCAGGGTCCTTGGCGCCCTAGCCATGCACTCTTACTAGATCGGTTGACTGTATCTTCTTTAAGTGTTTAACCAAAGAAGATGATTTCGCCAGAAAACCCCAATCAGTGGATGGTTCTCGCTGGGGAGATCGACCGGGAACCCGGGAGCCCGGGAATCAACCCAGAAGCCACCGAAATCGGCCAGGAACCGATAACCGGGAACCTGGGAACCCGGAGCCGGGAACCTGGGAACCCAGCGTGCTACCAGAATCGGCGGGAAATGTTCGCCAGATATCTTCCAGCTTTCGCCAGGACCCCTTCAGTGCAAGCCTTATGTCGGGCGTGTCCCCCTACATAGGGATTTTCGACGAAAAATAAAAAACAAAAAATACCCCAAAAAGGTCCAAAGATACTCAAAAATAGTCCCCAGACTATGTTTGGAGTATTTTTTGATTATCTTGGGGGGTATTTTTTAATTTTTCGTCGAACATCCCCCTGTAGGGGGACAGGCCCGACTCAATGCAAGCCCTGATTGGGGAATCATGTTGGGGGATGGGGGGCGGAAGGATGGATCACATCTTCTTGATCTCTTCCCGTCCACGTGGGGCAGCGGACGGCCACGCGCCGAGAGCGAGAATGGAAGGGGGGGGGGAGGCTGCCAGAACACCAAGGGAAGGCCTGGCCCTGGGGCCTACCCCTGGGGCCTACCCCTGGGCCTACCCTCGGTCTGCCCCCTTATGGGGCCTACCCCCAGGCCTAGCCTAGGCCTGCCCGTAGGGCCTACCCCTAGGCTATACCCTAGGTCTACCCCTGGGGCCTACCCCTAGGCCCACCCCTGCGGCCTACCCCTGCGGCCTAGGAGGGGCGAGGAGGCGGCGGAAGAGGACGAGAAGGGGCGGCAGAAGCGGATGAGGAGCTGTGCGGACCCTGCCAGTCCCCGTGCTCGGCGGACGTCCAAGGAGGCGGGTTGTGGGGAGGGTGTTGGTGTGTGTGTGTGTGTGTGTGTGTGCTTGTGCGGTGTGTGTGTGTGTGTGAATGTGTGTGAGTGTGTGTGTGTGTGCGTGGGGGGGGGGTCGTGCTTGTCGGTGTGATTGTGTGTGTGTGTGTGTTTTGTGTGCGTGCGTGCGTGCGTGTGTGTGTGTGTGTGTGTATGTGTGTGTGTTAGTGTGTGTGTGTGTGCGGCATGTGTGCGTGTGTGCTGTGGGTGTGGTGGTGCGTGTGTGTGTGTGTGTTTGTGAGGTGTGTTAGTGTGTTAGTGTGTTAGTGAGTGTGTGTGTTTGTGTTTGTGTGTGTGTGTGTCTGTGTGTGTGGGGGGTGGGGGTGGTGTGTCTGTTTGTGCGGTGTGTGTGTATGTATGTGTCTGTTTTGTGTGTGTGTGCCCTCTTCCTTTCCTCATGCTCTCCTGTCGCCTGGTCCCTTCACCTTCCGCACGCTGGGCGGGCAGTCCGCTTTGCTTCCCACCCTCCCCGTCAGCCATGCCCGGTTGGCTGCGCTCCGCCTCGGCGCTTTGGCCCTCCGAGGGACGTCCCGCGACGGGCAGCGCCGGCTTCTTCTCGACATCCACTCCTTCGCCTCCTCGTCCTCCTTCTCCCCCTCCTGCTCCTCCTCCTCCTCCTCCTCCTCCTCCTCCTCCTCCTCCTCCCCCTCCTCCTCCACCACCTCATCCTCCTCCTCCTTCCTCTCTTCCCCCTCCTCGTCCTCCGCCTCCTCCTCCCTCCTCCTCCTCCTCCTCCTCCTCCTCCTCCTCCTCCTCCTCCTCCTCCTCCTCCTCCTCCTCCTCCTCCTCCCCCCCCTCCTCCTCCTCCTCCTGCTGCTACGATGGCACGCGGCACGGTCCAACATGAATCCGCCCGAGGGCCCGGCCGCGCGCGTCGGTCCCGCTGCTAGACGTCCTTCGCCCCGCCGCCGCGCGCGAGGCCGCTGCCGCACAAAAGTGTGTGTGTGTGTGTGTGTCTTTTTTTTTTTTGTGTGTGTGTGTGTGTGTGTGTGCGTTTTGCAGGCTCGACCTGGTTACGTCCTTCCGCACGCAGCACTTGAGGATGGTGATTTTGGCGCGCCGATGACGGCAACACCAATCCACTCACCCTCCGGGATTTCGCCCCCGGTTCCTGTCCATGGCGTACCTTGTCCTGTGCGAGCTCTTCAGCACCGCCTGCACCCCGCGCCCTCCGGCCGCCGGAGGCCCCGCCCTCCCGCGCCCTGTCTCCCCGATTAGGGCTTCGCGCGCCCCGCCTAGCTCTTAACCAGAAGGGGCCTGCTCCCGACCCGCCAACCAAAAAGTGTGTTTGTGTTTTGCTGGCTCCTGCCAGCCCTGGCACCTGCTCACCGTAGGCACCTGACCCCCTTGCCCCTTGGGCTTCAGGTCGGCCTTGGCCTCCCTGTCGTTCCACACGGCTTACTCGCTCCCCCCGCCATCCAGTCCCATATGGTTTCTGACGCCTCCACCGCGCCGTGGCCTCGTTTTCCCACCGCCCCCCTTCATCTGCGCCCGGATGGCTTATGGCGACGGTTGCAGCGGGACCCTAAGTTGTCTCTGAGGGCCCGAGCGCTCCTGGACGGGCGTTCCTGGACGCGCGCGCGCGATAGCTGTTCGACGACTTTCTCCGCCCTGTCGCTTCGCGCAGGGTCACGGCGCCAAAAGTGTGTTTGTTTGTTTGTGTGTGTTTGTGTGATGGTGTTTGAACGGTGTGTGTGTGTGTGCGTTGTGTGCGCGGTGTTTGTGTGAATGTTTGGGTGTATGTGTGTCTGTTTGTGTTGTTGTGCGGTGTGCGCTTGTGTGTGTGTGCGTGTGTGTTTGTGTTTGTGCGGTGTGTGTGTGTGTGTTTGTGTTTGTGCCTGCGGTTGTGATTGTGCGTGCGTGTGCGTGTGTGTGTGCGTGTTGCCTTTGAGTGTTTGTGTTTGCGCGGTGCGTGTGTGTGTGTGTGCGTTGCGGATTGTGTGTGGGTGTGGTTTTTGCGTGTGTGTGTGTGTGTGTGTTTGTGTGGTGTGCGTTTGCGGATTGTGTGGGTGTGGCGTGTGCGTGTGAGTGTCGTGTTTGTGGTGTGTGTGCGTGTGTGTGTGTCTTGCGTGTGCGGTGTGAGTGCGTGTGTATGTGGCGTTTGTCTCTGAGTTTGTGGTTGTGCGGTGTGTATGTGAGGTTTGTGTGTATGCTAATGGTTTCTGTGCTTGTGTTTGCTTGAGTTTATGTGTGTGTGTTGTGTGTAAGTGTTTGTGAGGTGTGTGTTGTGTGTGTTGTGTGTGTTTCTTGTGGGTGTGCTTGTGCATGTGTGTGTGTGTTATGTTTGCGTGTGTGTGCGTGTTTTGGTACGGTGTGTGTGTGTGTGGTGTTGGTGTGTGTGTGGCTTGTTTGTGTGTGCTTGCGTGTGTATGTGTGTTGTGTGTGCGTGTTTCTGGTTCTCTTTGTGCTTTTGTTTGTACGGAGTGTGTCTATGTGTCTGATGTGTATGCGGGGTTTTTATATATATATATATATATATATGTGTGTGTGTGTGTCTGTGGATGTGTGTGTGTGTGCGTGTGTGTGTGTGTGTTTGTGATGTTTGTGTGTGGTTGTGTTTGTGTGTGCGTGTTTGTGCGGTGTGTGTATGAATGGCTTGTTTTCTTGTAGTTGTGTTGATGTGTTTGTTTGTGCGGTGCATGCGTGTGTGTGCGTCTGGTGTGTGTGCGTGTGGGTGCGGAGTCTCTATGTGTGTGTGTGGGTGTGTTTGCGTGTGTGTGTGTGTTTGTGCGGTGTTTGTTTACGTGTGAGGTGTGTTGGTGTTTGTGTGTGGTTGTGTTTGTGTTTGTATGCTTGTGTTTGTGTTTGCGATTGTGTGTATGTGTGTTTGTGTGTATGTTTGTGAAGTTTGTATGTTGTGTAATGTGTGTGTGTTTGTGCTCGTGTTTGTGTTTGTGTTTGCGTGTGTGTTTCTGCGGTGTATGTGTGTGTGCGTATGTGTATGCAGTGTGTATGTGCGGTGTATGTTCTTGTTCTGTGTGTTGTGCTTGTGTGTTGTTGTTTGTGCGGTGTGTGTGTGTGATTGTGTTTGCTTTTGCGTTTGTGATTGTGCTTATGTTTGTGTATGTGCGGTGTGTACCTTTGTGTTTGTGTTTGGTGTGAGTGTGTGTGTGTGTTTGTGTTTGTGTTTATGTGCTTGTGTTTGTGCGTTGTGGTTGTGTGCAAGTGGTGGGTGCTTTTTTATGTGTGTGTGCGTGTGCGCGGTGTGTGTGTGTGTGTGTGCGTGTGTGCGCGGTTGATCAACTGGTACCGCACTTGGAATTACAGGTCCAACGCCCGTGAGACCTGGCCGGAGGTCGTCAATGGGCTAAAGGAGGACTGCGAGGCCTTCTTCGTCGAAGGCTGGAACGCTCTCTGCGATGCCGGGGACAGCCAGGCAAGACGGGCAAGATGGCTTCTGCAAGGACAGTTGGAAACAGCTGCACAATGAGGGGTGTCCACGTGGATTGGGATGCCGTCTGGGAACGACAGTTGCGGCGCAACGAGCAGCAGCGAGACAAGGGCACGGCAAATGGAGGGGTCACGACACGGTCGGGCAAGGCAAGAGGCGCGCGGACCCCACTTGGCCCAACAACGACCGGTCGAGGCAGCTCCGCCCCAACACAACAGGCCAACCAGGCCATGTGAGACCCCTGCCCCAAGGCCAGACCAGGGCACCGAGGTGGTCCCCATGGCGGCAGCCCCTCCAGGCGGGAACCTGACGCGATGGCGCCACTGGTCTGCCCAGAACCCCTGGCCATGGCGCAGACAACGGTCCTCCCCACGCCGCCCTCGCCCAGCCCGCAGTGCACCAACGACCACGCGAGGCGCCCAGCTGCGTCAGCACCGCCTCCTCGTCGCCCTGAGTCGCCCGACAGACCTAGACGCCGCGCGCCACTCCCCCGGCGGCGCGTATCGCCTTTCGCTTCACTGGTTCCTGTCGTTTCAGTCTCCGCACCGAGTTGGTGCCCTGGCCGCGTGCTGGCCACCCCGGCAGCGCGCAGCTCCCTCGGCCTCGGCCGTTTCATTCACACAGCTCTCGCACCGGTTAGGTGTCCCCAGACTTGGCTCGCACTGTCCGCCCTGGCAGCGCGCGGCCTCTCGGCCTCGGCCAGTTTTGACAGGCTTGGGGCCCTGACCGCATGCTGTCAACCCCAGTAGCGCGCGGCTCCGTTCGGCCTCAGCCGCCTCGATCAAACAGCTTCCGCTCCGAGTTGCGTAGGTGCCCCTAGCCTTGGCCCGCACTGTCCACCCCGGCAGCGCGTGGCCTCACGGTCTTGGCCACAGTTTTGTGACAGGCGCGCCCGATCAGCCACCCCTTCTGGGCAGCTCTGGGCGTGGTGCAGCTACCCCTGGCCCGCCGACCGGGGCAGCGCGCACACGTCCGCAGCAGCACAGTGCGCGGGCCGCCTGCCCACCGCCCGCTGGCGCTGGCGCCGGCGCTGCCGCCCCGTCTGCGGGGATCTCTCTACAGGCGGGCGCTCCTCGTCCTCGCCCTCTCTCCCCCCCCCTCCGTTCTTTTTCCCTCCCTCCCCCCGCGCGCCGCCATGGCGCTGGCGAGGTTGCCGCAGCTCGCAGCCTCCCCGCGTGGTTGGGCACCAGGGCTTGGTCTCGCCGCGTGTCCCCCTCCACGGGCCCAGCATTTTGCTGGTTGCAGTCCAAACCTAGACTGCGCAAGTACTCGCCGTACCGTGTCACGTGCCACCCACCTGGGCGGCCTCCGGCCTTCGTTCTGTCGTCCAGGTACCGCGCCTACTTCTCCGGCAGCGTCATTGCAGCATGTGCTTGCGTTGCCCGCGCTGGGCCCCGTCATCGCCCGCGGGTGCCCCAGCGCCGCGGCCCGGCAGCTGCCATGGATCCCGCAGGCGGGGCTGGCCGCGCCACACTCAGGTGAGAGCCCTTCCGCCTCTGAGTGGCCTTTTCTTCTCCCCCCCTCCACGGCCGCCCGCTCGGCCTTCTTCCCTCTTTTGCACGCTGGCCAATTCGCTTTTCGGTGCCCCCGTTTAGCCTTTTATCGCTGGCGCAGCCAACTCTGGTTCGCAACCGACGAAAAAGTGCGCGCGCGGTGTATGTATGCGTGGTGTGTGTAGGTGGACTTCATGGCCTGGGTCGGGACATGTCCAATACATCGCTGTCGCTCCTCCCTCTTTTGATGCGTCCCCTTCCCCCCCGTTCCGCGCACGTGTGTCGGGGCACCCCTATTCCTCGCCCCCTCTCTTCCGTGCGTTTCGAAGGACGGCCAGTTGAGACACTGGCGGGGGGCCCGCCTTAAACGAGCAGGGTCGAAGTCCGTACCCGCTCCATCCTGGCTGGTCTGTCGAGGCGGATCCAGTCGTGGCCACGAGACGCCCCCAGGAGGCCCAACGTACAAAATGAAACGCGCAGGGCAGGGCCAGCCGCCATTGCCTCGACCTGCCCTCCTCCGAGCACCCGGCGTGCGCGCGAGGTGCTGCAGTGGCTCATGGGCAGGAACGAGCGGACCGTCGCCGTCGTGAGCCACGGGGTCTTCCTGCACGGCGCGCTCTTGGCCGCTGGGAACGGCCGTCTCGTCCTCGACGCCGCGGCGGAGAGGACCCTCTTCGGAAGCCTGCAGCCGCATGACACCAGCAGCCCCAGCAGAAGCCCATCCTGGGCCCCCATCCGTGTTCGGAGGCCCCCGATCGGCGTGGTGACCACGCTGCGTGGGGAGCCAGTGGGGTTTCGAGGTTGCCAGACGGTTTCGGGACTGCACTCGTTCTCCGGTGATGCTTCGGGCGACGGGGGCTCCTGTGGTCCCAGGACCGTGCTATGACGGACCGTGCGGTGAGGTCTTTGAGGGTTTCGAGGTCACCGTGCGGTCTGTGACCGCACCGTTTTGGGACACCCGACGTGAAAATTGACAAGAACGGGTCCTGAGAGACACGGGTCCTCTCGGCCTCTTCCTCGGACGGCTCCGTCCGCAGGTGCAGGTTCTCTCCCAAGCCTCGGGACGCGTGCCAGCAGCTGCGCGTCGCCGAGGGCGGCCCGGGGGTGCAGAAACTTCTCTTAAGTCGGGCGTGTCTCCCTACAGGGGGATTTTCAACGAAAAAAAAACCCCAAACATGATCAAAAAAACAATCCAAAAATAGTCTCGGGACTATTTTTGGAGTATTTGTTTGACCTTTTTGGAGTCTTTTTGGTGCATTTGTTATTTTTCGTCGAACATCCCCCTGTAGGGGGACACGCCCGACATAAGACTTATTGAATCGCTTCGCTCATTCCGCCGGCCCATAGTGTAGCGTCGCTGGCACTTGCTTGCGTGCTGGGGGGGGCATTTGGGTGGCCTCCTGGGGCCGCTTGGGGGCCTCTTGGGGGCCTCCTGAGGGCCTGTTGGGGGCCTCTTGGGGCCTCTTAGGGGCCTCTTGGGGCACATCCCCCTGTAGGGGGACACGCCCGACATACGACTTACTCCGAACGGCTGCCGGAGAGCCGAGCTGTCCTCCGAGAGCAAAGTGCACGGACACGGGCCCTGATGTTTGTGCGCCGCCCGCGGGCCCACAAGGGCCCGCCACGTGCCCCGGTGCTGCCATATTCGGGGATGGACAGACCCCCTTTTCGCAAAACGTGGTTCAGTGAAAACGACCCGAGGCCCAAACCCAGACCTCCTCGCGTCGTGAAAAAATCACGACGGGAGGTTTTTCCCTATTTTCGGCCTCCGGGGGCCCTTACCGGGCCTCGGGACCGTCAAAAAACGACTCAGACGAAGAACCGGTCCCGGGGAAAGGGTCCAGACCTCTGGGGGTCGACGTTGTGAAAAAATCACGACGTCGGGGGTCTGGGTTCGGGGATGGACAGACCCCTTTTAGCAAAACGTGGTTTCGTGAAAACGACCCGAGGCCCAAACCTGGCAGGCGCAAGCCTGGAAAATAAGGAGGGCCACGGCGCCCTCTCGAGAGCCGCAAACGGACCATTCACGAATCGACGTGTCACTGTTGGGGGTTCTGTCCACCCCCGAAATATACCAGCAGCCAGCGACTGAGGGCGAGGGCTAGTCCTGCGGAAAGCCCTGGTCCAGGACCCGCTCCCCTCGGGACCCGCGTGCCAACACCTCAGCGCCGCCTCGACTGAAATCGGGCCTGCATCCCCCTACAGGAGGCATTCTCAAGCATAGTCCAAAAATAGTCAGAGGGGGCGATTTGTTGAGCGTTTTTTCCCCGATCAGAGCTTGCCTCTGTAGGGGTCCTAGCGGATTCATATGGTTAGCTTAGGTTTGTCGCCGATTTTCGCTACACGCCCGGGTGCCCGGGTGCCCGGGGGTGCCCGGGGCCCGGGTACCCAGGGGGTGCCCCCGGTGCCCGGGTGCCCGGGGAACTGGGTGCCTGGGTGCCCGGCGTGCCCGGGGGTGCCTGGGGGGGCCCTATATAGCCCTATAGCCCAATAGCCCTATAGCCCTACAACTCAGTAGCCCTATAGCTCAATAGCCCTATAGCCCCCTAGCCCTATAGCCCTGATTGGTTTTTTTCTCCGGTATCATTTACCCTTTGGGGGTATGTTTGTATGTTTTTTTATTCTTCGTCCAAAATTCCCCTGTAGGAGGACAGGCCCGACTTAAACCTAGACAGGTGATTGTCCAGGGCGGGGGCAGGAGAGGTGCAGGAAGGCGCGCCGTGCTCGCGCGGGCTGGTGCTGGACAGCGGGGGGGAAGCGCGACTTTTTTGCTGCAAGGCTGGAGGATCCACACGGTGTCAGAGGCCAACGCCGAGGTCGACACGACACGAGCCTGCTGTGTACACCATCCTTGAGCAGGCCAGTATGGTGTGTTCAGCTGCCTGCGAAAAAAACACGCCACTGCGACAGCCCAGCATCGCCATGCATTCAGGATGGCTATGCCGCGGTCTCCCGAAATGGCTAAGTGGAAGTGGAAGCGTCTTGGGTCCGTCTTTGAAGCAGCGCGGTGATGTTACCGCATGGGGTACTTTTGCCATAAACTCGCATGGTCGTTGCGTTGCCTCCTGGGAGTTTCTTGGAGGATTCCCGAGTTCCTTGAATCTTCTTACGAAATCAGGGCCCCGGAAGTCCCGATCTGTTTTCCAGGCTCAGCCTTGCATCCTGAGTTGCCGTCTTTGTTGACGGTCCTGGGGCCCGGCGAGGGCCCTCAGAAGTTGAAACCTGCGAAAAGCCGTCGCAGTGTTTTTCAAGACGTTGAAGGTCTGGGAGCTGCTTCCGGAGGCGGAACAGGCCTCGCTCCTCGATCCTCGAACATCGGCGCGATCGAAACCGTCAAAGGCTGCGGTTGTGTGGCGGCTGGTTTCCGACCTCCCCCGCGAGTGGCACAATTGTGAGGTGCGCGCTTCCTCCTCCTCCTCCTCCTCCACCTGTCCCATCTCATCAGCATCAGCATCACCATCAGCATCACCATCACCATCACCATCATCATCATCATCATCATCATCATCATCATCATCATCATCATCAGCATCATCAGCATCAAAGCCATCTACCTCAGGCCTTTGAGGAACGTAGCTTTGCGAGTTAATGCGTTTTCTCGCCCCATCGTTCCCATATTCGCTAGCCATGGATGTGCACCCCGCTGGCCAGTGTATTCCGGAACGCTCATCTGCTTGATGGCACACTGCCCCACGATGCGCCTTTCTTCTTCGGCACGGCGGCGCATACGGCGTGCAGCTTGCAGTCGGCGCTGGATGGCTAGCGCGATCATGAGGATGTTGGAGCCCCCGCCCCCGTACTCGCGAGAGGCGCTCTTACGGGCGCGTCCCTGCCATCCTCGTGGTCTTGCCTTGCGACCCACTCCGGAGATTGATCTTGCCGACCACGGCCCGCGGGTGGTCCGCGCGGCCTGCACGCCTGGTCAGTGTGAAGGTCCACGCCCTGACGATGGTTCATTGTCTGTAGTGGCCCCCGTGGCCCCGTTTGATTCGTCACCCACTTCGCTTTCTGCGTCTTCGAGGGCGTCGGCCAGTCTGTCAATTTCTTTTTCGCCATGTTCACGCACGTGTCGGTGGACGTCGAGACGACGCCATGTCACTATTTCGGCTTCTTCGAGGGCTTCCGCCTGTCAGTCGCTTTCCACCTCGCCTTGGTCACGGGTCTCCCGATGGCCCTTGCGACGCCGAGGCGGTGGTCGAGCCTATCTGGAGAACGTCGACCCGTCCTATCGGCCGAACGAGGAGGTAGACCCGTCCGACACCTTGGCGGACTTAGAGTCTAACGTTTTCGACTTGTTGGACGACCTCGGTTCGGTCACCACGGACTCCTTCGTTGAGAGTTTCCTTGAAAAGTATGCCGACGACTATCCAGAAGTACTCGACTTCCCCCGACGTACCACATCCCCTTCCGAGTTGTAGTGAATCAGGTGATATACGCAATGTTGCACGAAGGCATTGTTCAGGAGTCGCACGGCATTCTGACAATGTCTTGTTAGGTTGCATGCTGTGCTCTACGTGCACTTCTTGTCGCGGCCTCACGTTTCTGAGGCTGTTCCGCGGTGGGCCCGATGCGTACGCCGAGGACGTCATCAGTGGCGTGCATCCCACCGCGGGCTGGCGGGCCCGATGCGTCCGCCGATGACGTCATCAGGGGCGGGCATCCCGATAGCGCACGGCAGGCCCGATGCGGTTGCCGAGGGGCTGGGCCCCCGTGCAAGCATCCTGCTGTGCACCCTGTAGCATTGCTTATTTGACGTTGTGGCCGTTGCAGATTATGCAGCCTCTGTGCGCGTCACTAGTGACGATTCATACAGTGGCTTTCTTTGACAGACTGCACATGCCAGGCTGTGCGGCCTGCGCGACAAGTGCTGTCATGGCTTTCGCGTCATCGCTGACGGGCAGAGGGTTCACTTGCTGTCCCACGCTTTTCTCCTCCCCATGAGTCCCGATTCTGTTTAAAAATCATCAGCATCAGCATCAGCATTACCATGACCACCCTCATCAGCATCATCATCACCAACATCATCAACATCAGCAGTATCACGCTCGTTATCACAATAGGCATCGCCATCAGCAGCAGCATCATCAGCATCATCATCACATCATTAACTATCAGCATCACCATCATCACCAGCATCACCATCATCACCAGCATCTCCTTACCTTCGCCATCACCATCATCATCACCAGTATTATCATCAACAGCAGCATCGTCGTCGTCATCGTTATCGTCATCGCCATTTTCAGCATCGCCATCATCATCAACATCATCAGCATCGTCATCATCATCATCATCACCATTAACATCATCATCGTCATCATCATCATCTCATCGTGATCGCCATCACCCTTATCATCACCATCGTTAGTATCATCATCATCATCATCATAATCATCAGCTGCAGCAACACCATAATCATCATCGCCATCATCATCATCATCATCAGCATCATCATCCCTCCTCTTCCATTCTCTTGCACCTCCTCCTCGTCCTCCTCCCTCTCCCTCCCTTCCTCCGCCCTTCCACTCCTCCCACCTCCCTCCCACTCCTTCTCCTCTTCCTCCCGCCACGTCCCTGCTCTGCATGGCTCCTCCCCCGCCTTCAACTCCTCCTCATCCTCCTGCTCCTCCTCCTCCTCCTCTTCCTCCTCCTCCTCCTCCTTCCCCATTTCTCTGTCTTCCGGGCCCGTTGATGGTGACCCTGGGCAGTGAGCCTGCTGGAATTCTAGACGCTGCGCGTAACCCCGCCAGCCCACCCTGGCCACATCGTGGTGCCCCCACGCGCCATTTTGGCCGCGCCGCAGCTTCTGCTGCTCAATTCACTCGCATTCAATGCGGTTCGTGGCTGTCGGTCCACCTGGCCTCGGCCACCCTGGTACTCTGCAGCTCGTTGATGCTTACGCCTCCGCATAGGGCACACAATTCGTCTCGTGGCAGTCGGTTCACTTGGCTCCGGCCATTGCAGTTCCGTGGGTGCCTACGCCCCTGCATACAAGTCACCCGCAGCTTGCAGACCGTGGCAGCCGACCACCCTGGCAGCCAGCCCATCCTTGCAGCGCGTTACATGCGTGCACCCTGGCAGTGAAGCTTCCCAGCAGTTGCAGCCAGCCCCCCTCCACTCGCCGGCCTGCCCGCCGAGGTGCTGCGTGAGGCTCCGACCCCCCGCTTTAGGTTACCGCGTTAGGCCCGTCTCTGCGCAGCCCGCTCTGAATGGACTCGCCGCTGGCGCTCTCGCCTGCGGCCGCTGACCAAAAAAGTAACCCCACCAGCCCATCCAGAACCGATGCCCAGAGAAATTGCCTCGATCAGGGAAGTGGGCAGCACACAGAGGAAGGGTCCCCTAGTGGAGGCTTCTTGGAGCGTCTTGGGTGCCTCGGAGAGCGTCTCTTGGGAGCATCTTGGAGGCCTCTTGGGCGCCTGTTGGGGCGTCCTGGGCGCCTCTTGGGGCCCTCTTGAAGCACTCTTGGGAGCCTTGGGAACGCTCTTGGGGCCATCTTGGAGGACATCGATCAAACAAACAGCGAACATTAGTTGGCGCTGCCCTTCGGGAGCCCAGAAAATCGCTTCTTGGGGCGCTCTTTGGGCGCTCTTGGAGCGCTCTTCGGCGCTCTTGGAGCGCTCTTAGGCGCTCTTGGGGCCGTCTTGGGGCTCTCTTGAGCCTCTCTTGGAGCCCTCTTGGGCCATCTTGGAGCCATCTTGACGCTTCGGATGGCCACCGGGAGCGACTAGGCGAGAACGCCAAACACATATATTGTCCTAAGGTTTTGGCCTCTTCGGGGCCTCCTGGGGGAGCTCTTTGGAGCATCGTGGGAACCATTATGAGACATCTTGGGATATTTTGAGCCATCTTGGAGGTTATCTTGGGCTCTCCCAGGCGCTCTGGGAGTCATCGTAATCAGTGCCCCCCCCAAGAGGCCAACATGTGGCTAAAACCTTCGTAGAATCAATGATTTGGCATTCTCGCCGAGGCCTCTTGGAGCATCTTGGGTGCCTCAGGGGGGTCTCTTGGGGTCTCTTGGAGGTATCTTGGGAGCCTCTTGCGGGCATCCTGGGGGCCTCTTGGGGCTTCCTGGCCACCTCTTTGGGCCATCTTGGGGCACCCTTGGGGGCCATCTTTGGGCCATCTTGGGTGAGATCGATCACAGGAGGGGGGGTCACTAATTAGGGTCCCCCCTCGGGAGGCCAAAATGGGGCCACAACCTTAGTAAGGACAGCCAATGATTTTGGCTTCCTCGCCGGGGCCGTTTTGGAGCGGAACCCCCCGTCCAGGTCCAGGGGAGGGGGTAGGGGGAGGGGTAAACCCCTCCCCGAAGGGGAAGAAGGAGGGGTGGAAGAGGAAATGCCCTAAACCACCTGCGCCCAGAGGGCTGGTGGGATTTCTGGACCTTGGTGGTTCTGCCTGCTCCTGTCCCCCTTCTGTTGGGCCCAGGGCTGGAGCCATACATGTGCCTCACCCCCCCTTGGTCGCCTCCACACCGTGGAGCTTGCGCGGGCTGCCGATCCGATCCGATCCGGCCCTCCGCCTCCCCCGCCCTCACCAGTTGCTCGGATGCGTACGCATACAGATATCACCTGGATGCTACAACCTGCTACAACACACACAACAACAACAACAACAACAACAACAACAACAACAACAACAACAACAACAACAACAACAACAACAACAAGAACAATAACAATAACAATAACAATAACAATAACAATAACAATAACAAAACAATAAAAAAAACAAGGAAACACCAAAAGCGAACAAACAACAAAATTGCAGCCCTCCCGCGAGGTGCGCGCCCTCGACCTCCAGCCCGCGGTCCTGGCTCGCCCGCTCTGCCCCCGCACGCTGGGCCCCCTGGCGGAGCCCCCGCGCGAGGACCGCGGCCGCCGCCGACGCCGACGACGGCGCCGCCGCCGCCGCCCACGGCGCCGCCGCCGACGACGGCGAAGCCGCGAAGAACGGCGGCGACGACGGCGGCGACGGCGGCGAGGACGCCTCCGACGACCACGGCAGAACGGCAACGCCGCCGACGACGGCGGCGATGACGGCGAGGGACGCCTCTGGCGACGAGGACAGCCCGCGGCCGCGCCGACGGCGGCGAAGACGCCAACCGCGCCAACGAAGGCGTGAACGCCAGCGACGGCGGCGGCGACGGTGGCGACGACGACGATCACGATGACGACGATTCACTCCGAGACGTCTCCTGGAGCGAGCCCTGATCTGGATCCCAAGGCGGATCTGGTTGTGGCGACGAGGGTGTCGTCTCGTGGTAGCCGTCGGCGCCATTTGCCGGCGTCGGTGTCGATCGCCGTTGTCGCTGGCGTTGTTCGTCGTCCGTCGATTGCCAGCACTGTATTGTCGGTGGCCTCTGAGCAAGGACGTCGCCGGCCCCGACAGGAAGCGGCGCAGGAGGCTCGGCTGCACGCAAAAGTGGCACCGCGTGACCCACAAGCACAGTTCAGTGGACGGGAGGGCCCCTCGGGGGAAAACCCACCGACCTCGACATGAACACTGTGGTTGTGGTTGTGGTCGATTTCGCCGTCCTGGGACGCCACATCGACCACAACCAGTACGAAGCTGATTTCGGTGTTCCGACAATTTTTGGCATGCGTAATAATCCCCCAGAGTGTGTCCTCGATGTGGTTGAGGTCGCTTGCTGTCCCGGATGGGCGTCTGGTGGCCCTTCGGCTCAAACGTCATCGCAGCTGGGGGGCTGAGGTGGCCTCGCACTGGTTTTAAGTCGGGCCTGTCCCTCTACAGGAGGAAACAAATAGTCAAAAAATAGCCTGGGGACGATTTGTTTCAGCATTTTTCGATGTTTGTGAGTATTGCTGGAATATCATTTACTCGTCCAAGAAGTCCCCCTGTAGGAGAACGCCCGACCTAACGCTGGTTCCGGCCAGCAGAAGGGGGGGGGGGGGGGGAAAGGGGCCCCCGTCGCCACGTCTGGGCGCGGCGTGAGAAGCTTGTCTTTCTGGTGTGCAGCTGCGGGGAGGGGCCAACCACAAGAGGGGAGGAGAGGAGGAGGAGGAGGAGGAGGAGAGGAGGAGGAGGAGGAGGAGGAGGAAGGAGGAGAAGAGGAGGAGGAGCAAGAGGAGGGAGGAGGAGGAGGAGGAGCATGAGGAGGAGGAGGAGGAGCAGGAGCAGGAGGAGGAGAAAGATAAGGAGGAGGAGGGAGGAGGAGGAGAGAGCAGGAGCAGCAGGAGCAGGAGGAGGAGGAATATGAGGAGGAGGAGGAGAGGAGGAGGAGGAGGAGGAGGAGGAGGGGAGGTCGGGCGGAAGTCTCCCTCAGGAGTCTTGAAAGACCTGCGCGCTCCTTGCACGGCGCTCGCCGGGGCCCCAACGCCCGAGAGGCTGTTCGAGTTGCGCGTCGCCGTCGAGGCACGGCGAGCAGCGCGCGCACGCAGAGCCGTCGCCGCACGCGTGCGCAGCCACCTCCTCCTCCTCCTCCTCCTCCTCCTCCTCCTCCTCCTCCTCCTCCTTTTCCTCCTCCTCCTCCTCCTCCTCCTCCTTTTCCTCCTCCTCCTCCTCCTCCTCCTCCTTTTCCTCCTCCGACTCCTCCTCCTCGCCGGTGCCGCGGAGCTCGCCACAGTGCTGAAGTTCGCGCGAGAACATTAAGTCGGGCCTGTCCCTCTACAGGGGGGATATTCAAAAATAGACAAAAACTAGTCTGGGGGGTATTTTTGGACCATTGTTGAGCATCTTTAGGGTATGTTTGGGGGTATTGTTGATTTTTCGTCCAAAATCGGCCTGTAGGGGAACAGGCCCGACTTAACGATAACCCGCACACTGCCGCATGGAAGAATTCTGGCCCGAGGGGCCTCCAGCCTGCGTCAGCGGGAGAGGGAGGGAGGGAGGGTATGCCCAAACCGGTTTGGTGCCACTCCTTACGGCTGGCCCACTCACCCCCTTTACTCGACCGTCAGACTGCGAGAGGAAAAAGAGGGAGGAAAAGCGGCAGCGGCATGGCTCACGTCCTGCGTCGCAATCGCGTGCTTTGCGAGCTCGAAGGCTTGCCCATGGGCTCGCTCTTGGCATCCATCCGAGTGCTGCAGGCCAAGACTCCGTCGTCCTTCAGGCGGCTCAGGCGCTTGATCAACGCTTTGGCTGGGGGTGCACTCGCCACGTCGGAGGCCGCCAGCGCGAACCCAGACATGCGACGTCCTGATTTTTTCAGGACGGCGTCCCTGGAAGTCCCGACCCTTTCCCCGGGACCGGTTTTTCATCCTGAGTCGTTTTTGGACGGTCCCGGGGCCCGGCGAGGGCCGCCAGAGGCCGAAAACGACAAAAAGCCTCCGTCCCGAATTCTTTACGACGCGAGCATGTCTGGGAACTTCCGCTGCTTCGCCGGCTCGCGACAAAATTCGCGGCCCGCACGCACCACGCCATTCGGCAGCTCGGACCTGCGCCCGATGAGGCCGTGCGCCTTCGCGTGCCGGCCTGAGAGCTCCAGGCGTCCTCCAGCGCCCGCGCCCGCGGGCCTCCTCGAGGCCTCCGCCGTGCCGCGGCGAAGTCCGCCGCCGCGGCACGGCGGCTCCCATCGTGTGCTCGAGGTCGAGCTCGCCCCAGCAGCTCGCCCAGAACCCCTCGCGCTAATTATGAAAAAAACACGACGGGAGGTTGTGCACAATTTTCGGCCTCCGGGGGCCCTCACCGGGCCTCGGGACCGTCAGAAAACGACTCGGGAGGAAAAACTGGTCCTGGGGAAGGGGTCGAGACCTCCGGGGACCCCGCATTGAAAAAATCACGTCATCGGATCTCTGGGTGGCCCAGGATCTCTTGAGGCTGCCCTGGCTCACGGGCAGCACCGGCTCGTCGTCCGAGGCGGCTGCGGTCAGCACCTCGACGATCGCCTTGCTGACGCTCCTCTCGAGCTCGACGCCCTGGTCCGAGCCCGTTTTCACCTCCTCGCCTTGTTCGCGCCGCCCTAAGATCAGAGCGGCACGACTCCCTGCATCCACGCTCACGTCACTCTGGCGCAGCTGGCCCCAGTCCTGCTTGCGCAGCCAACCGTCCAGTTGTATGAGCGCGGCCGAGCCCTCGATGATCTGCCCACGCTCGAAGAGGGGCCTGATGATGACGCCCATGGCCTCCATCGGGATGGGCTCGCCTTCCCCGTTGAAGCCCATGCGCTCCCAACTTTTTAGGGCCCTGGCGGCGACTGGAAAATGATTATTGTGGTTTTCGAACATGGGCATGAAGCCATTGAAGAGGTAACTTGCCTTCATGTAGCTGGCCCGCTGCGCGTCGCACACGTCCGCAATGTTTCCGGCCAGCGTCCTCTCGCGCTCGGCGACGGCGGCGGAGGGGGAGCCCCCGCGCCTCACGCCCACGAGGAGCTCCTCCGCGGCCCTCTCCTACAGCACGTTCGTGCTGTCGCCGACCGCGCGAATGGACAGCCTGGATCGTCCCAGACCCCCGACGTAATGATTGTTTCATTACGTCGACCCCCAGAGGTCTGGACCCTTTCCCCATGACCGGCTTTGCATCCTGAGTCGTTTTTTGACGCTCCCGAGGCCCGGTGAGGGCTCCCGGAGGCCGAAAATAGGGAAAAACCTCCCGTCGTGATTTTTTCATGACTCGAGGGGGTCTGGGGTTGAAGCTCAGAGGGGGCTTCGGCCGCCCACCACCCAGGCGAGCTCGCCTCGCCTCGTCAAGGGAGGCGGCCGGGGCCCCCGCGGAGCGGGCGCGCCGCCCGCCGGGTGCTCCCGAGGAGGACCCCCGGGAGAGAGCGGCCGGCGGCCTCTGCGCCGCCGCGGCCCTCGCAGCCAGGGGAGCAGCCGCTCGGGAGTGCATCTCGCAGCCCAGGCCCCCTCGAGCAATGGAAAATTCATGACGGGATGTTTTTCCTGATTTTGGGCCTCCGGGAGCCCTCCCCTGGCCTCGGGAGCGTCGACAGAACGACTCCGGATGCCAAGCCGGTCCTGGGGAAGGGGTCCAGACCTCGGGGGGTCGACGCAATGGCAAAAATCATCACGTCGGGGGTCTGGGAGGTGGCCCCTCGTTCGTCCCCGCGGCTGTCCCAAGGCCCACGCGTCGCGGCGCCCCCGCCGGCGGCGTTCGCGTCGGAGGGGGCCCAGCGGAAGAGGGGCCCCAGGCGGCATGCGAGCCGCGCCACTCCAGCCGTCCTCGCCAAGCGCAGCAGTGCCCGCGCCGAACTCCTCCCCTCGCTCAACGCGCCAAGGCTCACCAGGGAACCCGCCATGACGAGGGCCCTCGACTCCCTGGCCCGTGGAGTTCTCGAACGACGACGCGGCGGCCTTGCCGCCGCCCTCCGTTTGCCGGCGCGCGGTGGTGTTTTCTGTGTGCTGCCACGGGCCTTGCACAGCAGATGCCACCTCTGCCCGCCCAGCCCGGAGTCCCGTGCCGGGAGCAGCCCGCGCCCCGGCCCTCGCCGCTCTCGGCAGCCCGCGCCGCGGCCGGACCCGCAGCCCCCGAGGGCTCTCGCTGCGAGCTCGGCCCCCGCTTCCCCTGCAGGACCTGGGCGTGCGCCTTGGCAGAACGGGGGTCGGGCAGCGCGGCCTTCGTCCCCTCGGAGCCTCCCGGGGCGTTGGCCCGCAGTTGGCCAGGCCCAGACATGCTCGCGTCGTAAAAAAAAATCCGGGCGGGAGGTTTTTGGCTATTTTTGGCCCCGGGGGGCCCTCGCCGGGCCCCAGGACCGTCAAAGAACGACTCAGGACGAAAAACCGGTCCCGGGGAAAGGGTCGGGACTTCCAGGGACGCCGTCCTGAAAAAATCAGGACGTCGCATGTCTGGGGGTGCACCGTCCTTGGGCATGGCCCTGTCCTGCCCTGGCAGCGTCGTTCCAGTAACTACCTGCAAGGCCTCGCGGTTGGTGGCCTGGGTCGTCAGCTTCTTCCACTCCCTCCCCGTGCTGGCAGTAGTCTCATTTGATTAGGATCACCTCGCACTTCGCCAAGCGCTCGAGCATCGGCGGGAAGAGCCACACGATGCTGGACTCGGGGTTCTTGATCGCGAAGTAGACGCCCTCCGTGATACAGAAGAGTGCCAGCTGCACCGCCACCATACACAGCGTAGATCCCGCGAGTGCTCTGTCCGCGTCGTCCTGCGCCAGCCCCGATGGTCCCCACGGGCCCCGGGCACCCTGGCTGTGCGACGGGCGGGGCGTCGAGCTCGCGAGAAGGTAGAGCGTGGAGGTGCCATGTGCATCCACCACCACCACCGCCAGCGGAGACGTCGGAAGATCCGCTCGAGGTGCGGGATGCAGAGCAGGTCGAACTCGGTGCCCTTCATCACGTCCCAAGCCTCCCCCACGAGCGAGATCGCGAGGGCCGCCTGCGGTAGCCTCTCGCCGCCTGCGAACAGCTCCAGGCAGCCCGGCCGCCCCATTTCTGGGCGGATCGCGTTGTGTTCCTCGTCGCCTTTGGCGCCCACCTCCTGGTGGAAGTCGG